ACCGCACCCAGCCAGGGCTTTTACTAATACAAAAGAGGAGATAAGCCTCAACGACCCGGTGTTACAATAACAAAGCACTAAGAACACTGGCAGAGACAGATCTGGCTGCGTCCCTGTAACTCTTTCTCACAAAAAAAATATTAACCAAATTTTTGTTCATAACAGCAATAAATTGGACTGACTGGTCTGCAAGTGTAGCACTTCAGAAAGAGCTCCTTCTCCTTGGAATGATGCAAAATTAAATCTAGCGGTGAATTGGCTTATCTTCCTTGTTATTTTTAGATGTATTGTAGTTTTGTTCATTCCACAGTGATTAAATATTTTTTAATTTTGGCATTAATGTGTTTATAATTATTTGTTGTAGGTTTGCATTCAACAGAGCTGCTACTGCCTGAAAGAAAATCAAGATGGACACTTAATTCAAAAGTCAGTGGTAATTTTACTGAAGTTCTCTATCCCCCACCCCACCCTGATGATTCATAAGGCTTTAAATAATTAAAGCATTATTGGGTAGACTTTAAACTGAGCATCTGGTAGAGGTTACACTTTTACCTCAGTTGTCACATTTTAAAATATTTTTGAAAGCTTCTCCAATACTGAATTATTAGCAGTAGTGAACTAATGGAAAAAAGGTTTTCTTTAAGGGCAGTGCAAAGATATTTGGGAAGATTACATATGTTATAACCTTGTAGAAAAAGTGTAGTTAAGCATGTGAAACTCTATTTAAAAATTGCTGCAGTGTATTTTGACTCCTGTAGCTTGTTATTTTGACCACAAATGAAGGACTTGCATCTACATAAATTTTGTAAATTCTCAGTCTCACTAAAATTCTTATCTCTATGTTGTCAATATCTGAAAGTTGAACTAGCTTCAGTTTTGTGCTTTGGATGGCCTTGCTGCTTTGTTATTTTAACTTCTGTTTCAGTTTTGCTGTTTTGAAAATATGGAAACTAGGGAACAGGAGTAGGACTCTGTTGCTGTAATCTCTGGCTATGGCTTGTGGCTCTTGTGTATTGAGCCTAGGTGTGGCTGGGACTGACTGGGGAGCTGAGCCACTTATTAAAGAACCAAACCAATAGAAAAGAATGATCTTGTATATTCCTCTACTTGTATGACTATGATTTTTTGAAAGCATTTGATAGATGGAGAATTCTGGTGTGAGTTGCCATTTAATTTGATTGTTTATTTTATATGCATGAGAATAATAGAAATATTCACTTCTTAACTCATAGAAAAGTGATGTGTTGCTTGTTTTTCCAAGCTATTAATTTTCAGTGCTGAGATCGTTCTATTTCTTTTCAAGATGCTCTCACTGAAATCAAGGAGCTACATCCCCCACTTACTATTTTGGGTGGCATCTTTTTCTAGACTCTTCTTCTTCTGGAAGTTTTGAGGAGTTTGCTTTTTAGCTTCATTAAATTAATTCTGGTTTTACACCTCTCTGTTTGGATAATCCTTTTATCCTTTCACAGTACTTACACTTGGGAAATAGGGGAAAGGAGTACCCAGGATTCATAAATGCTTGTGGTTGAAAGGGACAACAGAAGTTGGAGGATCCACAAAAAATCACTGGATTTTTCCATAAATTGCATGCTTGGCATTGAAACGGGTATGTCAGTCCCTGGCCTACTGTATAAGCACACAGCTTACATGGTAGGGATAGGGTAGAAAGGAAGAGAGAAGGGAAGAGATGAATTAAAGAGAGGGAGAGAGAGAAAAAGGAAGGAAGAGAGAAAAAGAGATCACTGGCCCTGATTCCTACTGTTGGTCTGGCTATGGGATGTCCTGGGATGTGCAGGCAGGGTGGGGTAGCTTTTTGGAGGTAGTTTCCTTGTCCTGAAACGAAGGTATTCATTTTCTATGAAGATCAGTTATCTTGTATGGTCCATTCTTTGAGGCCTTTCTGGAAATGGCTTGGGGGGTTTTGGGGGATCCCTGATGATCTCATTATCTCCCTGCGGCACTGGGCTTTGGTCAACAGTTCATGCTCGCTTCTGTGCTGTTTCTGTCTTTTGTTTGTTGTGTCTCTGTGGACTAGAATGAGGATGCTTGTCCCAGAAGAGTGCTGTCCTACCCCTGCATGGCCCCTTCTCCAGCCATATCCCATTTTCCACAAACCATTGGTTGGCTCTGCAGTTATCCAGCTATTGGTGTTTGAGATATACACGTTAGCTCCTTATCTTCAGGGATTCTGTAGGAGTGTATTTTTTCCTGTTTGTGAACATTTGTGTTTGACAAGAATTCAGGAGTGTTTTACAGCTGTGCCCTTGTAACCTAAACATAATTCATACCTACTGAGAAGAGAATGCCAAGCATGCTGGTCCACTTTAATTTCTTCCCTATGTTTTTTTTTTTCAAGTGCTTACAGTCTGTTAAATGCTTTACAGACAACTATGAAGATAATGTCCTTGCTCTTGAGAGCTTATACTTTAAACCTTGATGTAAACATACCTTTTGTAGAGGGATAACTGTCAGCAGGTTGTGTCTTTTACTGATGTGTTTATTCTGGTAGGTTCTTAAAATGGGTACATTTGTACTGGCTAATTCTTCAGAATAGTGCAGGTTGCTCTACTATGTGAAAAAAGTGTTGGTGGAAACTTTTGAGAATAATTATTTGTTTCAGCTTTGCTTTAATCTGCAGCAAGCTGAAACAGAATTACATCAGTAAAATGATAGAGGCAAATTGTGCAGATATTTAGTGTTCTACAAGTTAATGTACTTTGTGCTCCTTTTATTTTTATTCTAACGAGGTTAATCTGTTTAACTTGTGTGGCTAGAACTGTTGTAGTGACTGTTCATCAGTAATGCCTGAGGAAGTTGCTTTTATTTCCTTTTTTAGTAGTAGGAATAAATTCTGTCCTGCAAAGACAACTATTTACAGACCTTATTATAAACAGATGTGAACAAAACTTTTCACACTTTTTGTTTTGTTTTTTCTTACTCTGTGTTTGAGTAACTGAGCGTGATACCTGATGATAATACTCTGTGTGGTGCTGTCAACTCTTCCACAGTCTCCTCCTTTCATGTCTTGGGTAGACATAGTCAGGGAAACAGCTGAAATAAGTTGTTATCTGCTTTATATGCTCAGCATAGGGCAAAATTTCTGCCTTTATTAGCTGCTACTTCTTTCTTGTGACAATTCCCAAGTGCTGAAGCATTTCTGGTGATTTCCTACATAAAATATGCTGACTAGTGCTGTGATGTAATTCAACTCACACTTTAGCTTTTGAATTTGAACCTTGTTAAAGGGCAAGAAATGAGCATCTATCAGGCGTTTGCTAAATGGTCAGTACCATTTAGTGGAATCATTACACACCAAATGTTTCTTCTCAAGGAGAAGGAACATGGCTGTAGTGAATTGAAGTTACTCAGTTGAACCTGGCTGTAAATGTGAAGTTATTTCATGTTATGAAATAGCTTGCATTTTTTTAAAATCTATGTTTCAGTAAAATGCAAAAACAGAAACTTTTTTTTTGTTAAAAAGTCATCATTATGTTATCCAAAGGATTTAGCAGCTTCATCTATATCTAAAACATTTCTTAAAAGATGTTTTGGTTGTTGTGACATTTATATTTGATTAGCAGAGGTAATGTTAAAACTGGTTGATTGTGAACCATAACTGTATATAGTAAAGGGGACCGTATGATAAAAAGCAGTGCTCATATTCTAGATCCTTAAGCAAAACACAGTGTGCTTTAGTTGGTTCATTCTCCCATAAGGAATTTAAGCACAAAGTAGAAATGAAGGTGGATTTTTTTTGTTGGGTTTTCTATACTTGTGCTAAGTCTCTGTAAAGGTAAGCATTAAGTCTGTGGTTGTACTAAAGAATGTGTTGGCTTTAATTGGTTAAAAAACTGACATTATATTTTGACTCTGCATACTCCTCATATGTAAGTGTCAGTGCTCAGATCTAGCAGAGCGCCTTGTTCCTTCCTTAGTGCTCTGCAGGAAACCTTAGTTTTTATACTTATTTTTAAAATGTGAGGCAAGAAGGCAAATTACAAATTGTATGGATATCTTCTTCTGTTCTTCTGTGTTGTCCAGTGGTAGAGTATATATGAGGACAGTTCTGTATTGGATGATGGGGATAACAAAAACAAACTAGAGGTTTTGCTTGCTCACCAGTAGCATCATTGAGAAATAAGAGGCTACAGTTGAACTGTTTCAGAGTTTTTTGTTTAATTAGTGGAAGAGACCTTCAAAAATTCAGCTCCCTTTCCTTTCTGTTGAAGGTATCAATCTTAGGCAATAAATTTTAGAAAACCAAAAAACTTGAGGGAATTACCATACCCAAGCCTAATCTTTTTTAAAAATAGTTTTTCATTGAAATGCCACAAGGGGTGGCATGATACTTTTTCCTTCAGAGTGTTAGAAGTTTGACTGTAAAGGTGTAAACTTATTCTGTTGTTATGGCTGTTCATTTACACAGCGAGGAAAGAAAGAAGGAAAGAAAGAATCTTCAGTTGAAGTGTTTGTCATGCTATTGCAGCAATTTGTGATCAGTAGAAATGCTTCCAGTTTCAGAAACTCATAAAGCTTGTGTAAGGGTTTGAATATTATTTTCTGTTTTAGTGACATACAAATTTTGAATAGCAAAATAACTTAAAATTAGCTTATTTTGATTTGTTGGAGCTACATGGATCACAGAATAGTAAGGAAGATATTGAGTAAACTGTGTCTTCAAAAGGAGAATGAAAATTGAGATTTATAGATTTTAAATAAAAATATTGTTTAGACCTTACATTTAGCAACTCGATTTCAAATTAGTGCTACTCTTAACTAGAGATAGCAGGGAGGGATAACACAGAAGGATCCGCTATCACTGAAAATTTTTCTTTTGAAAAAAGAAAAAGATGTGTTTTATGGCAGAAGAAAAAACTTTTGGTAGTGTGGGTTATTTTTAAGATCTGCTTAGTATGAAAAATGTCCTGAATGATCCTGTATTTGAAGAAGGAGTGTGTAGGCTGATGGCTGAGTCTTGTGCATGTAGTTTCTTTGCCTAATTCAGACCAATATTGGTAGTTTTCTGTTGAAGTGAAGGAAGACGACCCATCTGTGTTGGTCAGCATCGACTTCGGTTTATTGATCAAATTAGACACCTTTTATAACAGTGCTAATTCACTTCATGCATATTGCAAAATCTGAGCTCCTGATAGGCTGTAGAGAAAACTTCAACTCCTCCTTTTGTTTAGAATACCAAGATTTGTGTTCTCAAAACTTACTTTTACTTTCCCAAAACAGCCAAAGATAGAATAGTTACCTGTTATGAGAAAACTGTCTGAGAACCCTGAGAACCTAGTTGTTTACAGAAACAGGCTGTGAGAATTTGCTCCTCACAGCTGCCTTTTAAGTCATTTCTGAAAAAATCTCCAACAGTTTTCCTTTGGCTAATGGTGCAGAGTTGAAGCCAAAATTTGAAGCTGGCA